AGTGCATGGTCTCAATCGGTTACTTGTTCCTTTCAAGTAACCTCTATGTACTTATCACTGCAAGTCAAGTGACCGCTTGGCTTGCAATTACTGTAGTGACTATAGCGTTGTTCAGGCTTCGATGTATGTATCCCGACGCTCCTCGGCCTGTTAAGGTAATCATAAAGCAATTATTTTGCACCCTAACCCCGGAATTTTATTTTTTATGAGATTCGGATCACATGCCTTTTCAAGTATTTGGAAGAATTTCTTCTACTAAATTTATTTTTTAGGTCAATATCATTTTCCCTATAATATTTGTAATTGGATGTACTGCGCTTGTCATTCTTCCCATTTTTGGATCGCCAATAGACACAGGTACTAGTTTTGAGCATTAAAATAGAATTATTTGTTCCGAAAGTTGCTGAAATGGACAGGATAAGTAAGGGCTTCCTGAAGTCTAGTCTTACTTTCTAAGTGTGGGGTTTACCGAACCTATCGTTTCTTTTAAAGCCAAAATTTTCAGCGATTGGTTTTGCCGTGCTATTCTCGGCAGTGCCCATATACGTCCTCTTTATATGGTTTGGAAAGATGCCACAGTGCTTCAATGTTTTAATGTGTACGTTTATCAGTCTGACGTCTAGATGTTTGACATTTACACTTCTTTACAGATAAATTCACTGTCTTCTGGCAAAAATTGTTCATGTTGGTCGATGACAATAAATATGATTGACGAGCACTAATTGCTGGATCAGCTCGCTGCAAATTTTATGAAATAATTTTGTTACGAAGTTGCTATTGATTTATTTATTTGCACCATCTGAAAGGGGTCGATAAACTTTTTGTTATCATCTCTGTTACAAAGCATCATCCATGGAAAAGAGAAATGCACTCAGATTAAAATGGACATGGGTGTTGGTTCCTGTCATTTGGCATCAAAACAGAAAACTGTTCGAGTTCATTTGGAAGGGAATACAGAGTGTTGTTCATTTTTATAGCTTCATACATCCAAAACAGCCGTTTGATATCCTCCATTGCCTGAGTAAGAGGATAGCAGCAAATTAAATGGTGTCTGCAAATGAAGGAGAAGACGACAAGGAAGTTGACGCAGATGGAGAGGGATCATCTCGCACTCCACAGGACGAAGCAAGCAAATCCAATATCAAAGAGTCAGAAAAATCAAGTGGAGGAGATACGGTAGTAAAATTTGATTGAGAAATACAGTTCAGTCTGTAGACTCAAATAATTTTAGTGGTCTTTTTCAAGTATATATGAAGAAAATGAAAGGGGATTGAAGAGAACACTCAGCTTAAAAAACGCCATTACGATGATGATGGGTGGAGTGATCGGTGCAGGATTATTTGTCGCTCCTACGGGTGTTCAACGAGGTTTGCTATGGTCCTGACAAAAGCAAAAGAATTTCGTTTTCTACAGCCGCTGGCTCTGTTGGTGCGTCGATCGCAATATGGTTTCTATGTGGAGTATGGTGTTTTCTTGGTGCGTGCATTTATGCTGAACTCGGAACTATGATTCCAAAGTCGGGTGGTGACTACGCTTACCTCATGGAGGCGTTCGGACCCTTTCTTGCATTTCTTAGATTCTGGATAGAGGGCATGGTGGTGAGGTATGTTCGCCTTTTTTAACGTTGTCATTTGCAGTGGAATTACTACACTGTTAGGACCCGTCACGAAGTGGCAAAAGTTCAACTGAAAACTGCTTTAGGTATAAAGTTAATACACTTGCACCTCCTGACCTTCAGACATAGTCAATTTCACGATAAATCTGTTATAGGTCTGTGCAAAAACACAGTCCTATCCCAAGCGCGAGTTTCGAGGTCAAAGTTCATTTAGAGCATCTGAGTTTTTTATAATTCATGCGTAAATGAAATTTGTTAAAACGAACAGGGTCTAGGAGGGACCAACTACGAAAAACGGTTGGAAACTTACTTCACTAAAACATGTGGTGTGCTTCTGAAAAAATCACCCCGCAAAAAGGAAAATTACTCGTTTGCAGCGCCCGAAACAACATAGCCTCTAAATCAGTGTGTATGTGGGGCAAGGAACAAAGTATGAATTTACATAAAAGACTTACGCAGATGAAGAAGGTACCCAATTTTTCTAAAGTAGGGAAGCTGTTGCTGCCCAAATGGCACCCTTCGGTGGCAAAAGTTTCAGCTTTCATGACTTTTCCTAATTTCACTCAAATCTGCTCTGGCCGCAAAATTCTTCCTGTTCTCCTAGCCAGAACTGAGGTAGCAACGATAGCAACGAATCGTTACCCCTAAAAGGTTCGTCTTGGAGGGCGTTTCGACTGAAAGACTTGCAAAGTTAGATGTCAGCAAGGAGAAAAGTGTAGAATTTGAAACTGGAAAAGGCAGACTTGTTTAACAGTGTCTGAATCCTCCCACGCTTCTTTACAGAGACATGTGACACTTGTCAACCGCTGGTCCAAGGAAACACGCGTTCGAAACAAGATTACCATTCAACTCAAGAACGCATAGAAAATAGAGAACAAAGCAAGAAATTCGAAATGACACAATTGACATAA